GCAGGAATGAAAAGTGGCTTTTGACGAACCACTAACGCCATCAAAATGCTACAGATTCCTTTATGTTTACCAGTCTACTTGGTACAACTTCTCCCTACTACCCTCTGAACAGCTTGGTCCATGTTACATGGTGTTAGCTGCCCACAGAGGTCTAGGTCTACCTGGTCCACCTCTTTTTCAGATGAAAAACAGTCTCCTGGGAAGAACTGAAAACATTCTGTTGCTAGGGAACTATGGGACAGGAATTTATTTTCTTTAATCCAGGAAAGAATACAGCACCTCTGTTCCAGTTGCCCTCCTGACTTAGAAGGCAAGTTCAAACCTTCTGTCTTCCCTTTAGGTGCTTTTGCAATTCTCATACTCCACAGACTTCACAAAGTACAAACAATGGACCCAGACACATGAACTATACAGACATTGTGGGGTCTTCCTTCCACATCCCTCGAAGCGCAAACCAACTCTAAAGCAGTATAGAAAACCCCCTTCCTAGCCCTCAAAACAAGGTAAAGATTTTTCAACTGTTTATTTTTCTTCCAGATGACTTTAAAAATAGCTAAACAAATCGCTGGGAGAAGAGCCACAGAGACAGACCTTAGGTCCCTATTCTGACAACATGGTCATAGATAACAACATGGAGATAGAGATCTGTTTCCACAGGTGTCCGTGTCGTGTTGTCTCCTGGGTAGGCCTGAAACAGAATATTACAGATACTCAGTGAGGAGAGAGAAAAGATAGGGTTTTTAATGTCACAAATTTTCTTTTTCTTCCCTTAGAATGTAAAGTTTGATAATTGCCACTGGCTCTGAGGGCGGGGATTTCACAGTGAAGGTTAAATTAATGCCCTGCCCCTGGGCAGTTTTCCTCCTGCAGTGGTTTTCGCTGATGCAAAGACAGCGATGGAGTTCTTTTAGCAAAATACAACTAGGAACAAGCAGACCATCAACTAGTCAAAGAGATGGTCTACTTCCAAAGATCCTGCAGCCGGTACTAAGTCTGCTTAAGCTGAAACCCATGAGAGAGAACTCATGCCGATTTCAGTTTGGCCCATAACAAACACATCTCAAAAGCTTCTTCTCCATCAGTGAGTGTGACAGACAAGCCATGGCCAGATGGATCTCACGGGGACTTGCAGGCCTGTGCCCTGTAACCTGCGGGGGGAGTGGGTGCGGGAGAAGGGACACAAGGCACACACACAAACACTTCTCAGCGTGGTTTTTGGCATGCAAGGATCTTTCACGTAGGCACTAAAGGGATTGTTATTTCTTACAGATGTTCTGCAGCTGCAGGAAGTTGGATTGGTGGCCTACTTTCAAGGCAACCAAACACATTTTTAGGTATGCATTTTTGAATTTCTAACAAACCAATGCGCTTATTTTGAAATGCCTATAATTTGATATTTTGTATGTTACTATTCATATGTGACCATCTTTCATGGGAAACACATCAAAGAAACCATCACCCTAGATCAGTTCTGTAGAAACCCAAAGAAATTATTACCCAGCTTAATTCATGTTGGTTTTGAGACTAACCGAATCCTGGGTGTGTTTGTCACATCCAATCTATAGTCCAAGGACTTCAGCTGTGAAGTTTAAAAAAGTGCGGTTGGCATCAGAGGAACACGGTTGGTTTCTTACAGAGGGAAGCTGTCTATTATGTTATTACCCATTTGGCTCTCAACACGAAAGATAAAATACCCATGGCAATTTCATCAGCTTTCAACTGTGGCTGAAAATGGGATGCCCGGCTATGACTCAAGCATTTGGTTTGTTTGGATTCAACCGCTGTGTAAATAATGACACAGATCAATCACCTTCAGCAGTAATGGGATCAGAGCCATTTTTAGGTGAAAGCAAAGCATACGTTTGCGCTTTCAATCGCTTCCAGGAGACGCAGAGCCCACAACGTGCAGCACCAGTTTATAGTGCTACCGAGACACAAGTATCTTGCTTCCTTTTATTCAGTTTGTCAATCCTTCTGAACCATTTATACTGCATGCTTGAGAACCACAGCTCTCCACAAGGAGATGCATCTAGGGTCATATTTCTCTTTTGTGAGGGAAAGGGTTTAAAATCCAGGTTTGACCCTTAGGCCCTTGACAATCTCCATCTACTACAAAAACTAAATTACCTTAATGGAGCCACTTTCCTTAGGCCTTTTCAAATCTTTTGTATTAAGGAGGAAGAATAAGGATTGTATGCAGTATGGAAAGGAATCCTGCTGCTGTCAGCTCACCCCTGCAGAAGTGCTGAGGTAGAAGATAGCCCATGATGCAGAAAAAGGAACTGATTCTGCTTTCTGGATTTGCTGGCGTTCAGCGGACCCCACTAGGATTCAGGATATAACAGTTCCTGCAAGTTACAGCTTTTGTTTCAAAGAAACCAAATATTTATTTATTTTTATCCAATATTTGTTTATTTTTATCCACCTGCAGGCATGTTTCATAATAGAAATCACCAGCCGCAGGGCATGGTCCACATACTGGCAATTTTACTTTTTAGTGAGAGGCACAAGTGTCACCCTCTGAGTAAAACACAGAGTCTCTCCACACCAAATATACCTGCTTATACACACCTATGCTCGCAGCTTCCCGTCAGTGCCCGCTTTCCTCCTCTGCCTGTTCCCTCTCCCATGCTTCCCTTTCCATAGCAGTGCTTGACAATCCAATTAACAGGACACAGCCTTGGCCTGCAGCCTATCCTGGCAGTAAGGGCAACAGTTTCTTTCAACCTTCCTGACTGGAAGGAAAAAGAGCAGGGAAAGGTGCAGGGTATCAGAGAAACCCTGCTTCAGAATTCCTCTAGTTTTACCACTCTGTTCAATGGCTGATTTTTGTCGTCACAAGGGAAAGGCCTAGAAACAGTCAGTCATAAACAAGGTGAACTAAGTTCACCCCAACAGGGACCAGAGCAGCTGTGTTAACAAAAGGAATAGCATGTCTGAGTAAGCTCGAATTATTAGGTGCGTATTGGTAAAGACACTATTTGCAATTAGAATTGGCAGTTTCACAGTCAAACTCCATAGCATAAAGGCAATTTAGGATACTGAAAAAAACAACCAACCAACCATTTACCTTGGGATCCACATTTATTATTTTCCTATTACTTTTGTTCTTGAAGAGCAGTCCACAGGCATTTTCTGCCATCACTTGGTAATTTGGGCTGGAATCTGAAGTGCTGACATTTGTATTCCAGTTGTAAAAGCTGTAAAAATGTGAAACAGATATGTTATACTTTTAATGGATGTCATTCTTCCATCACAGAGGAAGATTCTGACCTCCTTATTCATGCTGAGTAGCTCTCAATTCCACAACAGCTCCTCTGAAAGACAGACAGATGCACTGAGGAACAGAAATGTTAGAAAACCTGTCCAAACGTGGCCCTACGCATCTGATCTCTGGCAGACCAAAACTGAGGCCCCTAGCTCTCTCCTCATCCATTCAGTACTAGTGTTACCTAAACAGAGCCCGGGTTATAACTAGCGGGAAGTGGTAGTGCTTAGGAGCTACTACTGTGGTGGAAACAACTCTGTAGGCCACCTGAATGTGCTTCCCAGACCACCACAGACCTGCAAACCAGATGTGGGAACTGACAGTTCCCCCTTAGGACTTCACAAACTTTCTCATTGCCTCACTGTTTTCCTTTCTCTTGTTTTTAATACAATTCTTATAGTAAGGACTTTTTGAAAGTGGGAGAGGCTGAAATCCAGCTCCTCAGGGAGCTGTAGGTGTCAGCCTGAAGCCTCTCCCAAACTTTACTCTGGAGCAAACCATTCGATCAGGCTGACTGGCTTGCTTATTGCCAAAATGTCTGGCACTAGACAAAAGTCAAAATGAATCAGTCTACTATATCAAATACAAAGTGGGCACAGGAAGATGCCAGCAATTTATCAGTATTTCTTCCAGCTGAGAGCTGCTGGAATTCCCTGAGCCCTCTCATGCTTTTGTTTTTTTCACTTCTCAAACTTTTTATCACCTGACCTCAGTCTTTTCAGGCTTTGTACTCACCACACAGCCAACTAACAGTCTGTCATTTGCACAGTCACTGTTACTCTTCATGCAGAAACCCTTTCAGATGTACCTACAAATGGCACAAAGGGGTGGCACTGACTCGGGTACCTGGCTGGGATGCTCATTTGACCACTGAAGCCACACATTGCATTTCTGCTGCTGCTGTTCAGACAAACGTATCTCTTGCATAAGGTGGAGAAGCGGCGGTTGGGAAATAATTCCACATGTAGGAGGATACAAGAAATGTACAAAATACCTTTTAATTTTCCTGCCTTGCTCAAGGATACTCCACTCCAACTAGATACATGGTTCTGGTTTTTAAAGAGCTTCAATTTCATCCTCACTTTGAAAGAGTACAGAAAAATAGGCTTTATTGCTATGTATGCTAAACTTTTTTCCATCCCAAATACCTCTGGTACAAATGGAGCAAAGTATAATGACTCAGGAATGGATCTACAACACCCTTAGAGAATTCATCCTGGCATCGCTGGCATCAGAGGGTGATTTGCTGCTGAAGTTGATAGCCAGACCACGTCAGACGGTTCCCTCAGCACAAAGTTATGTCCTCCAGCGAGTTAGTGCAAGTAGCCCTCTCAAACTCTGTGCAGCCTTATGCTTAGATGCCTACACAAGAAGAGTGAAAGGTGGCTGGACATAATTCACTCAGCTCAGTAGTACTAGCTGCTTTGATATGCTAATTGGTCACACCAATTTGTCACCTACAGAATTATTTAATGATCCTGAGTACCCACTTTAAGTGGTAAACAGAAGATTTTTCTCATTCACTATTAGATAAATCAAAGAATAAGAATATGCACAAACTTATATAGAAATGAAATACCTAGATTCTTTTAACTCTCTATTCAGTTACATTCTTTTATCCATACAGTTTTTCTCTATCCCCCAGGACACAACCTGGTTCATGAGCGCAACTGCACAAAACCAGATTGTTTCTGCGGGAAAACCAAGACCAGAAAGGAATTGATCTACATTATCAGGGGGTGGGGCACAGAGATACATGTCTCTCTGCAAAGACTTCCTCTCATTCATTAAAAAGAAATTAAACATACCTGAAGGTGGAAATAGCCAATTAACTGTCAAATAATAACTTCCTGCATTCTGCCAAATTTCCAGTCCCACTCTTACTGTACTTCACCATTTAAGCCAGCAAAGACAAAATTGGAGCTCAGACAGCCTTTTTGCTGGGAAACCAATGTCTAGTGCAAACAGTTCTGTGCTCCATGACAAATTAGTTTCCTTCAGGTGCTTAGATGTGAGACATACCCCAAGTCTGCCGGCAAAACGAAGGGCATCGCTGTGAACACTGTACTGATGGTTAAGAGAATGGGGCAATGTCTCTGTCTGCCTTTCCCACATATGAGCCCCAAGCTTTCTGGCATTCTTAGGTTCTCAAAAACAAAGACCAGGAGATGGAGAGGAGGTGGTGGCTTTCAGGAAGCCTAGATGTCTGCCCACAGAAGGAAGTTCCCCCAACATACCTTTATTTGTGTTCTTGACTGAAAACTGATGACCCTCCAACCCTGACAAATTCTGATTCTGTTTTAGTAGAGGACTTAGTACTTAGTAGTGTTGGCTTGATAGTTGGACTTGATGATCTTAAAGGTCTCTTCCAACCTAAAGGATTCTATGATATCAAGAGATTCAAGTAAGCCTCACTCCCACCTTCATCAAGTAGGATAAGGAGGACTGCTGCAGCTAGAGAACTATGACTGGAAGACCAAGGAATATATGGTAGCAGGAAATACTCTTACTACAGACTAAATAGGTCAGAGGTGAGAAGAACATTTTGTCCAGATGAGGAAAGGGTTTGCAGAAGGCATCTCTGGAGCAGTCTGTCACCTATCTATCAGTTACTGTTGAGGCGAGACTTGCTCACTGTGTTCGATGCATTCTGCCACAAGGCTGCTGCCAGAAGAAGGGGCTGGAAATCAGGACCAAGGGAATCCCACCCCATCTGTGTTTCTTTCTCTGGAATAAATACTAAACCAAACTTCAGCAGTAAGTGCTAATTAGGAGTTACTATAATCCCAGTGTAATCAAGATAATTTTTGTTAGCAGAATTCCATGTGGCTTTCAATATTTAAATTATCCTGAGATAAAAACATACTATCAGATGAACATGAACAAATGCCAAAGAAAAAAATTCAGTGTACATTTTTTTCCTATTATTATTTTGTTTGATTACCATGTGTTTTGGCACAAAAGCAACAGTTTTCAACACAGTCCTTAAGTATGTGGAGTACAACAGGCTTAGCAGTGCCCACAGTCCAGCTGTAAGAAGAATGTATCTTGGGGTTGGGGGTGGGTTTGGTGGTTTGTGGTGGTTTTTTTTTTTGTTTTTTTTTTTTTTGGTTTTTTTGACAATGACTTGCTGGTGTGGTGGTATGTAACAAATAGCACACTATAAAGACTAAAACATGTGAGGTAGGGGTTTTTCATTCATCTGCTAATTCTGTTCTGAGCTGATTTTCATTCTGTCAGGCAGGCAGATGCCCTCCCAGAACACAGGAGTTGGAATAAAGCATTTTTTATCCTTAAAGTTATCCTTCAGGTACCGAGATGGCAGCACATTGTCTTTCATCAAAAAATCTCTGGGTCCTTTTGTGAACGTGTGTTAAAGCACTTGACATTCTTGTGAGACGTAAGGTGGGCTTTATTACAGCTCATCAGGGGGATGAGGGCACAAAAAACGGTGGAGGTTTTTCACTAGGATGTGGGGACTGATGGCAGAGCAGCCAAGAGTGCCAAGTGCCAGCTGCAGCTGGGGTGCTTTGGCTGCTGACCTGTGGCTGTTCACATTCAGGGAGCTGGAGGCAAATCTTTGCCAAGCTTACACACTTGATTTTAATGCCTCAGTGTGTGACTGTCCCTCTTCTTCCTTATTCCATACTGTGAAACCAGCTGTGATGGAAGAACTTTGTACAGAGTTTATTCCAGGGTTTGAAATGCCTGGACAGGCCAGAGAACGCTTCAGACAACGAACTGACTGAGGCTTGCTGATCACCATCTGACCAAAAGAAAAGAAGGTGTGCGTCTGCAGGGTGAGAGCTTTGTTGTCCCAGCTTACTGTTTACTATTCAAATCAGCAAAATCAGGGAGACAGAACACGTTGTAAAGGTGTTTATGTCTGCATCAGCCCCACCTTTGATCCCATGGGGCTAGATTATACTACCCTATTCTTTCTTCCCCTCAGGATAAGGATTGGTTCCTTGATTCACTTCTCTACTTCTCTCTTCCCACCCACACATACATGAAGATAAAACCATTCCCTATAGCAGACTGGGACTTCAGTCAAAAACAAATTATAAACAATGATGGTTCAACAGCTTTTTTCAGTTTGTGGTTCTATGGATTTGCGATGCAAAGTATCTGGCTTCTGACCCCCTCCTGGTAATTCACAGACCAGTTTGCTTTAGTTGGGCAGCAAAAGAAGGGTGCAGACAAGGGAGATAGGGGCATGCAGGACAACAAAGATGGGAATAACTAGAAGCAGCAGCTCCTTTACCCTGGAGTTCTCTTTATTTCTGCCCTCCAGTGGGAGTGCCCTAGCAGTCATTCTAATAGAGGGAAACTAGCATTCTGCATGTGCTTGCCAATTATGACAAAGTAGCAACATACTTGGATGGGATTTGGCCCAGTAGTCCTTCCAGAGCTTTCTGGTGCAAACGAGGTCAATGCCTCATGGGACACGACACCATATAACACAGGACATATGCCTGACTCCACGCCAACTGCTGTTTCATAATAAGATGCATGTTACAGATCTCCAGTTTAACAAAAACAAGCTACTTTTTCCACCTACAAAACACAAAGATGCCAGGTTTTGCTTTTCTTTTTCATCTTGAAGCAGCTTTGACTGAAATATTATCAAACAACTGCCAGGGTAGGGTGAGATACGTTACAAGACATCAGAAAACTGAGGTAGTTTGATCTGTCCACTGCTACTGTGGGCAGCAGCCACTTCGGTGTTTTTTTCCTGCTTATCTGTGCTCTGTTGTCACTACCAAATTAAAAACCTGTATCATTTGGCTCAACTTACGAGGCTGACTGTGTTGCAGACTGGTTGTAAATCATGAGTGACTCCAATGAACTCCTGTACAAAGGTGGTAGAAATGAGCATCTGGCCCACAGAACCAATCTGTGCCTTGGTCTCCTGGAGGCAAGGGAAAAGCT